TGTAACCTCTCCCCACGGGGTTTTGAAATAAGATGGAAATCACCAAACTATTAAAAAAAAAAAAAACCACCACACCACACAACCAAAAAACAGCATTACTTAAATTTACGCTGAGATGTATTCAGAATTCTTTCTGGTCAAATCTTCTTTTTGATCTGCCCAATTAAAGCAGCCCCCCAACAGTACAACAAACCCTCCACTTCTTGAACATTTTCCTTGTCTTTGGACATGAACAAAATCTGAAGAAACCACATATTCCCTCTGGAGTTCGCTTCCCTCAATCTCACACTTCACATCTCAACATTTCTTGAAACAACTACTGCCAAAGGGGCCAACTGTGGCATCTTCACGTCGATACCACAAACGCCCCAACTGCAGTCAGGGAGTCTGAATGTGAAGAAATCATTGACTTGGGCACAGACACCAGAACCTAGTCCAAATTTCTTATGTCTATCAAACATTCTTTTTATTTCCTATAAACGGACAAAATTTTATTTTTCATTTGTATACATTCAGTGGAATAAAAGTGTAAAAAGTACAAAACCAGATGCAATGAAATATATATAATGCCATCAATTTTTTCCAAGGAAAAAACACGTCTTTCCTTACTTTGTGGGCACATGGTAGAACCAGTATTTATCTAAACTCTTCGGAAAGCTTTAAGTGACACTTCATAATTACAGCATAGTTCTGCTCAAAGACAAAGCGAAGAAACTTGCCTGCGATTCTTTACATAAACTTCCTCCTTGTTTCTCCATGTACCAGTTGCATTTATATCGCTATTCCAGTTTGTCATAAACAGTCACCTTGTAACCCTTTTTATCAAGCAATCTATGCACTACCTAAAAGTACACTACCCTCCATCAGACAAGCTATAGGGTTTACATTATACAAACATTCCGATTCTGCCTGCTCAGCGCAGGTTGTCAATAAATGCAAGCAATTGCAAAACAGCAATGTGTGTTTTTTTCCTTGAAAGGACACTGATACAAGGCTGCCAGTTCTGCAAAATAAACTCTTCGCAATCTCTGCAGCTAATCTGTCAACAAATTACTATTAAAGTCATACCTCCTAAAAGTTCAAAAGCGTTCTGGATTAGACAAAAGATACTGAGCTTTATACTCGTGGGGCAGTGCTTGAAGTTACGGTATCAAAGTGGATCTTGCTATTGATGTGGAGAGGTTTGTATTTCTGCCACCACGCAACACAGCGTTTGGTATCTTGCTGCTATATATTGGAATTCAACTTTGTATTCATTCTCTTTGTTCAATCATATTCTTGTTTCTCTGCTAATAACGTGAAGAACGCTTTAATGAATAGTCCCGAGGATAAAAATAAAGTATAATAAATAATATTTATTTTATAAGCTTAAAAAGAAAAAAAAAAAGAACTGGCTAGGACTGGAGCATCAAACCTTCTATTTGAGTAGACGTCAGAAACCACTGAAGCAGCTAAAGCTGTGATCATGTACATTAAAGGGCAGTTTGTCCCCATGAGTCTTTATTTATTACTCCTTGGTAGGCAAGAGTCACCCCATCATTACATACTTTCTGTCCAAGCTTCCCCTGCCCAGCCTGACTTGCAGCATGTGGGTCACTCTGACACCCATTTTGCACCACGCAGATGTCTTCTGTGAAGCCTCAGGCAAACAGATGTTGCCAGACTAGGCCTGGTACCTCGTTCCCAGTTTTTTTTGCCTCGTTCCTTGGTTCTGCCTTTGTGGGCACCTCAGAAACAAGCTCCTGAACCCCGTTGCCTGACCCCATGTCAAATGCCTGCTTCTGGTCTCTTTAGGAAGTCCGATGACCCAGGTGATCTTCATGCCTCCTGCAGTTTTACAGGCAGGTCATCAAAACTCTGCCCATTCCACCTCATCCTGACAGTGATTCCCCTGAGATGCCAACCACTGGCATCTGTGGAGACAGCAGCAGTGAGAAAGTAACTTCTCCCACCCTCAGCAGGTGCCAAAACATTCCAGGAAAGAGTTCTCCTTCCCTTTTAGTTTGGCTCTGGTGGTGATTTCTCCTGCACGTATCTCCACTTTCATCCAACTCTTCCACAGATGTACTGTCCCTGAAGTACTGTCCCTGAAAGAGTCACTTGCACTGCTTTGACTCTCATCTTTCGCAATTACAAATATAAACATCAGTTGGAGCTATTATTTGGTTGTATTATACATAGCAGAACTCGTCCCCGCATTTGCTACTCCCAGCTTAACGGTACATTTTACAAGATTGCCAATGCTAAAATAATTTCGCATCATTCTCTGTCGTCTTGCATGGCAGAATCACCCCAAGCTGACACGGAAAGTGTAAAACTTGTCCTACGAGCCCTCCCTGCACTTACTACAAGAGCGCTCACACCACATATTGCTCCTTCAAACACACAAACATCTGTGGTGCTCCGTGTTTTTCCATGGTAAAATATTTACAAGTTTGTAAACCCATTAAAACTTCCTAAAAAATCTGAAGCATTTCTGTTTTCCCTTCTCATAGCGACAAAGCTGGTAGACCTTATAAATCCATAAATTTCACAAAAAACGTGAACCAAAATTCAGCACAGATGCTTCAGGCAAGCTATTGTATGTCCAGGTTTCACCACTCAGCCACGCTCATCACGGGAATACACAACTAACCACAACAGCAAAGCTCAAACTACCCACTGCTGATTTTTTTTTTTTTTTTCAGACAAAACAAGTGCCAGGTGGCAAAAAGAAAAGATTTGAATGAAATGCTCTTAAGAAATAGCTGTTTAATTCAGAACTCATTCATTTGTATTGACGAAGCGTTTTGTAGAACGCATTCTGTTAAGTGACCTGAGAGCATATGTTGTATACGGAGAAACATCTAAACATTATGCTCCATGTTGTATGTGTATCTGTAAATGCTTGCATTAGCTGTCTGAAAACAACGGGTTTTTCTTCTTTTCAGCACTTAAAAATATTTTCCAAACACAAAGATTGATATTTTTATGCTAGCTCTGATTACCCTTTTGTTGTTGGGTTTTTTATGGTTGTGTTTTTTGTGTTGTTTTTTTTTTTTTTTTTAATAACTGTTTTAAACTTTGCAATCAACTTGCTTTTTAAAAGATAAACTCCATGGAGAAGTTAGTCATCAAAACCAATTAACAGCAGAATTCAAACACAGAACATACAGGTCTTCTAAGAACTCAGAGAAACACAAGCTCCCAGACCACATTTATTGCACTGGCAGAGGACAAATAAACTATAAACTAAAATCTGAGCTATGTGAAAGCAATCCTGAGCCTGGCAATCCTGTCACCCAGCCCCGCGCCCTGCTCCCAAGGGGCTGGCAGCACTGGTAGCTGGGCCGGGCACCGTTTGGGGGAAGGCTGGAGGACCCACGTAGGAATGAATTGGTGCCACTCCTTAATTGACCGAACGGGTGGCTGTTGAACGACACAACCCACTACACGGGAGATTATGGCGTTATCTAGGGTGGCAAGAGCTCTCCGGATGGCTACGGAGAAGCCTTGGCACGAGGCGCCAGCAGTGAAGGCTACTAACTGGTGTTAGGAGCAGAGGACTGAGCAATTCCAGTCTACCGTGCGCACGTGCGTGTGCGCGTTTGCGTGACCCCCCCTCTGTTTCCATCTGCACAAAGCAGCATTGGAAAATTCCATAGCGCTCCTAAGGAAAAGGCAGCGTAATTAACTCATTTTGATACAAAGCCTTTTCAAGAAGACACCTCTGTGTCAAACATATTTTACTGGTCCACTCCTCTTCTACTGTCCTATATTAATCAAAGCTGTAACCCCTGTTGTCTTTGCACTACGAATCAGAATGTGCCCCTGGCGAAGAATGAGGGAAAAGTCAACAGGAATTAAGTTTCAGTGCAACTGTTTACTCAACTGTGGCCTGCAGTTATTGAAATTTTATCCGTGGTTTTGTGTGACTACTGCAGTAATGAATTCAGCATGGCTGTGATTTTCTCACTGATGGTATTCTCACTTCAAGTAAAAACCTGTAGGATGAAAATGACTGAAACAACCAAAGTCCACGCGTTTAGTACCACCCGTTTTTCTGACTTGTTTAATTATGGCAGCTTTCTTGTTTTAGGTTGGCAAATGGGGTCCCCTGCTCCTCAGCAAGCCTTTGGTTTGCTTTGTTTTTGAGTGTGGGTTTTTTTTCTTCTACACAACAACCTGCTAAAAAGATCACTGCACACTTAGGGGAGCCTTAACCAGCTGCCAATCGCTTATTTAAAATGTTTTAAGAATGCTTATTGCATTTGAGAAAGTGAAGGTTGGGCGTAAGTGTATTCACCATGGCTCTGCTGCAGCCTTTGTTCCCAAACACGTTCATGACACGTGCACAGCACTTTGGTGTAAAATTTCCTCGGAGGGGTTCAAAATTTTATCAGGGAAAAGAAAAAGACAAAACGTATTACGTGGATAATTTACACTGGTGAACTCGGTCACTTCCCAGAAAATACACTAATTAAAATACAAAGGCGAAGCGCGCAATTTGGTTCCAATCCTTCTGAAATGAGGAGCACTGCCACAGGATGTATTTATTTATTTATTCTGACGTTTTGCCGCAGCAGATACCTCCGCAGCCTTTCTCACTAATAGAAAACATTCTGTTGATAGAGGTTGCTAGGTTATATTAAAATTTGTTGCAAAAACAAAACTTAACGTTAGTGTATTTTCCACCCAGTGACATATTTTGGAAACCAGTTATTTGTATACAGCGCTTCACCCAATCGCTGCCACCAGACTCAACACACTCAGGCAACAGAAGCAAGCCCTGACCTCTGGGTACTTCCAGGGAATGATTAAAAAAGAGCCCCACAAGAAAAGTCCAGCATCTCCCTGCACATTAACGACTGCAATCCCCTACAGACAAAAAACATAGAGAATGTCGTCAGCAAGTCCTAAAAGCATCCTCTGACTGGCAAATACGAAGGGTTTGGGAAGGAAAGGGGGTGTTAAACGCTTCATGCTTTTTCTGTAAGTAGGAAACTTGTAATATGTCTTACAGTACCTGCTGTTGCTGAAGATGTGCTAAATCTGCAGCCCCAATTTCAACGGAAGGCGTCTCGCCGTTTGATCTCACTTCCCGCAGGCTGCACTCTAGTAAATGGTTGCCACCGCTCGCTCCATTCTGAATGGCTGAACCGTTACTTTTTGTCTCAGTCCCAGATTCTTGCATCATGACTCAAAAACCTGAAATAATTTAGGGGAGGGGGGAGGAAAAAAAAAAAAAAAGCAGCTGTTAAAACAGTTGCTGTATATAAGGAGACATGCCCTGTTTTAAATCCTGCCAAAACTGTAAACATTTGTCATTTCCCTTCATACGATTTATCTTTCATTAATGGTTCATGCTACTAGTTTATGTTTATTTATCTGTTGGTACAGCTATAATTTTAGAAAGTTAGTTCTGTTCTAAATATAGTATTATTTGCTCAACATCTTTTTCCCCTTAGAGAAAAAAAAATATTTTTCAACGAACACACAGAATCCATAATTAAATTTCTCTAGTTACATCTGGATGCTTTCCTTTGAAACAGATGAGCCACTCTTTGCAACATAGGATGGACAATATCAAAAACTTGATGCATAGTATGTAGGGGTAGGTAGGTGAAGCAGAGCATTTACTACTTCCATTTTCATTCACACCATGATATTGCCTAATTAGCACCTTTTATTACTCTGAAGCAATTTAGGCTGAGTCTGGGATGTGCTGGACACCATCAGTTTTCACTTCGGGCAAAGCACTTCAACCGCTCACAGAATTAGTCTTTTTGGCAAATTTCTGGGCTCTGGATTTGGTTTGACTTCAGATGCACTATGACATTATGGTGAAAAGCCCCGTGTTATAGCAGGCACGGCTATTCACAATCAGCCTGCTGTCAATTCTTGGTGGACCTCTGTCCCTGGGTGCTTCACAAATAACATCAGTGGGTCACAGGCCCCACACAACAAGGATGAGCATGAGGATGATACCCGCTTGCTTACATTGGAGCTCCTGGGACTCCCACGTCTTTGGGAACTGACTGGCAGCACAAGACCCCTCCAAACCAAGCACATACGCCAGCTTTCAGCTGCAGACCGCTACCTTTAAGATCTTTTGATGGATTGCTTTACAGATATTTCCACCTCCGAGGCTCCAAGTTACAGGATTTAAACATTATTAACCTGCTCTGCTTCTGCCAGCCCATCCCTGCCTCCCTTCGTGCTCCTCCTCTCCCCCATACCGGGGACAGACGGGGTACGGTATGCCAAGCTGCATGCTCCGAGCACGTTGTCTACTCCACGCTAACTCACCATGTGCACATGTGAGCCAAATACTTCCGTGCTGGGTAGTCCACCTTGAAAGTAAGACACTTTATATTTAAAGAAGAACCTGTTTGAATTCAGTAACTACCCCGAATGAAAAGGAAGAAGAAAAATCCTTTCCCTTCCAATATCTAAGGGAAAGTATCAATCAGAAAGGGTGAGAGAAAGTAATGCATTTCAATGGAAGACTACCCAGGGGAAAACCTTTTCCGTGGAAACATCACACATGCGTAGTTTGGAGTCCCCGGCCACCAAACACGCAGTACAGCTGGAGGCAGAGGTTCCTCCTTCCAACACCAGCTCCCTGCTGGCCCTCGGTGACAGTCAGCACCAGACTCCGTGCACAGAGCTACAGTCCAGCCCAACGCACCAACACCAGATCCTCTCATTCGTTTGGTAGCTTCAGACGTTCATAAAGCTCAACTATTGTGCTGATAATCAAAATATGGCTGATAATCAAAATGTCATAACTGAGAAGCAGCTAATGGGTGCTTGGTCACCATCACACGCTGGCATTAGCATTCCTCACCGATTCACGTCCGAGGAGGGTGACCTACTCATTAGCCGGACCCCGCTCCAATCGTGACGGGATCTATTCACGCCGACGGCCGTCCAAGCACACGGACGGGTGCTAGGACAGACTCAAGTGTTCTGATTACATTTAAATAAATTTCAGCTGGTCTATGGAAACTTCTTTCAATTTGTTTTGTGAAATCTTCCAATTATGCAAGGGGACAAAAGGGCTTGGGGGCTCATTACAAAGCTTCTGTCAACTCCCTTGTAAAAGCTCCAGAGATCTCTGCTAACTTAACAGCTTTCCCAATGCCACTAGCAAATGCTTTTGGGTTTTAACATGGTCCTGCTCTGAGACAGACTGAGCATGGTGTAGTTTTCCTTTTCAGCACTGTAAGGAAGCCCCACAAGCATGATAAGGTCTAAATAAGTGTTTATACCTGACTAGCAAGGCTGAATTACACACCAGGCGGCGACCGCACGGCACAAGTAGCTTCAGAAGAAGAGGCAGGAGTGAGACTCTCCAGACAAAGGTGTACCAGGCAGTTTTTATATGCTACACTACTAAAAAGGACACACCTCTCTTAATCAGAGATAAATGAGAAAGAAAGAGCTGATGCAACTGTTTTCTGTTTCCATCCAAATTTGAGGTCAAGCCTCTTTTGGAGAAAATGAAGCATTACATTAATTTATCTCAGCAGAAGATCTGGACAAGGGTGATCTCCATGTAAGATCAGGTTAGCAGGTTAAACCCAGAGACTCATATCTTTTGACTGCTGTGATGTACGATGCCAAAACGGTGGTCCGTGTTACCATCACGTAGATCACACCCAATGGAGGAAGGACATACTGAAGAAGTGGTGGAAGGTGCTTCTGGCAGATGACACGGTGGACAAGGATGCTAAAACCAACATGTCCAAGCAGTAAAGAAGGACATTTCATTCTCCAACGCTCCTGATGCAACAAATTGACTGGAAGTGAGAACCTGGATAAACTACTAAGGAGGGTCAGAGAAAGCACCGACCAAAGCTCCGAGATGCCTCTGACAGTGGCATGAAGAATGCGCACCACTGAGGAGCAGATCTATCACTGCCTGATCACCATTTGTTAGCTTGCCCTTCTGAGCGAAATATCTCCAGGACACAGAAAGTAATTCACAACCAAACTGGTCAAGAAATTATTTATTGTCTCTAGGATTGCAAAAATGCTCCTGGAAAGAAACAACAGTAGAAATTGCTACAATTTTTCCAACCTATAGGACTGAGAAGAAGATGGATTATTTATAGTATTTGTCCACAAAAAGATAACTGAGTTCTTGAGAACCTTTTCCATGACAAATGTCATGCTTCATTTTACCTTTCAAAGTACCCCAGCCAGTTACCACTTGAGCTCCGCAGGGTCGACCCCGGCCCCTCCACTGGCTATGCCCACCCTATGCATCGATCCAGCAGAATCAGCAGCAGCTATCAAGGAAACTGCTAGAAACGGAGTTTGTGAAGAGAGCATCGAGAGAGTAAAGAGAAAACTGTGATGTTTGGACTTTCAAAAACCTATTTTAAAAGGAGAAGTTAACAACTTCGAGTGAATTTTGCTTTAAAAACACCCGTTCACAGGCAGTCAACTTCAATGTAACTTCAACTGGACACCAATACGAAACGAATCCACTTTTCTAAAATACCTCCAATAGAAAACAGGATTTTTCAAGGGAGAAAAGATAAAACTGTTGATTTCTTCATTTTCATCAAATGTGAGTTGACATAAATAATCACAGTTTGGTTTGATCATTAAGCGTCATGTCATGAAAATCAACCTGCGAGAGCTTTCTGCAAGAATGATTATTATTTGCCTTTTTGAGCACACCTAAATGAGCTGAGGTGATAGTACACTGAGGATGGCTGAGATAATTGTCTCTCCTCAGCACAGAGGTGTGGGCCTTACAGAAGCCTATTAGTGAAGTCTGTCATTCAAAAACGTGAAAGAAAAAAAGCAAAGCAAGGTTGACTTTGTGCAACATGATTAGGTTTCTGTGGAAAAAGAACTGAAGCTTCAGGTCTACTACCACAAACTGTGATTCTGGTCTGAATATAACCCCAAGTAACCAAAATAGTGCTGAAGAAGCTGTTGCGCATAATGATTTATTATAGGAAATACAGTACTCCACAAAAGCTTCCATGACATGTAAGATATCATGTTCTGACTTAAGACATTTAATGGCAAAAGAGCACATCCTTCTCATGCATTCTACAAAGCAGAATGACTCCCATATCCATTCCGTAAAGGAAAATGTATTTTTGCAGCTTAAAATAGATGGATTCTTACCAGTGTAAGTATTTTTTTAATAAAAATTCCACAATATTTCACGATAGGAGGGATAGAGAATGACTCTTAAGATTATTAAAGGTGACACAAGATGTTTTTCCCAAATGAAGGGACCAAAGCTAGTGCTGCAGTATGAACAACAACTTGTAAAATTTCATCCTGAAATCAAGAATCACATAATAAAAGAACTGTGCTTATACAACTTAATGACAGCTTGATTTAAAAACCTCACTACGGTGACCAATTTCTCAAGACTCCCATCTTAACCAGCACAAAACCTCTTCTAGCTTTGATGCACAGTCAAATACAAAGCCAAAGCCATATGGTCTGGCCCATCTCTTCAGTGAATATGTTATGTTAAAGGCAACAGAGTAAAATTTGAGTGGAATGGAATCAAAGAAAGGCACTCTGTCAACAGGAGGACAACAGGTAATCATCTTCCAGATGACTTGGACAGCAGTAAAGGAAAGTTCATTTCTTAAAGGCATGGTCAAAATTCAACAAACATAGGTCGGATGTGAACTTTGGCTGAATCAAAATGATCTTACTGAGGACTCCAGTGTTGGTGTTTTGAACTAAAAAGATAGAACCTGAAAGAATCCTAATTTTGAAAACGTTCTGCGCTAATCCATTTAGAAAAAAAAGAAAAGTCCATAACATCACAAAGACCAGATGCTACAGATACACGTCTCAGCTCCACTGGACTATTTAGATGAGCAAGGTTAAGCATGGAGATTAGTAGGCAGGAGGCGGGCACTGAAGTGTGCAATTTCTGCAATTCTCCTACTAGTATAGTTTCTAAAGACTAAGCAGCATTGTTTAATGTCAGCATGAGGGAGGATTTACTGACTGAAGGACCCGTCAGAATAAGGACCCACTGCAAGTCTGAAAGACTAAGGGACTAATGCTCAGATGTATTTAGATGCCTCACCATACACAGAGGCATCTGGCGAGACATTTTTAAGACTCCTGAATAAGCACCAATCTACATCTTTAAGCATCTCATCACCTTTAAAAAACTATCCCCAGGGTTTTCTGGGCCTT